TTTTTTTTACTAACATCTTCAACTTTTTTCCTCACAATTTTATCTTTTAACCTTCAGTTATTTAATACACTCTATCTCTTATATTGAATTTTGTCCAAATATTCTGTTAACATGGGAATTTTTTTTTTCAAACTTGTGTATTTGTTGTTTATCTTGCTTATTTAAAAATACGTAGGGCAAATAACTTTTTTTACTTCATTCAAATGAATTTATTTGACCATCATCAGGAACGAAATGTACCGACTAAAAAAACGTTGAGATGATGAAAAGAGAAAAAAGTTGGGGACATAAATGTGAAAATGACAAAAAATTAGTAACTTTATTATTATTATTTGAAGAAAGTAATAAAGGTTGAACCGGGTTTTATCGGTAAAGAAGCATCCAACCAGCCGGACAATATCTTTTAGTTCTTAGTCGTGTTTTTCTATTTCACGCTTTTGTTAATTTCCGTTTCTTTCCGTTAGTTCCTTTCTTATTTCTCTTTCTTTGCTGTTGGTGAGACTATTGCATCTATATATATAGATAGATGCAGTCCTAATTTCTGATGATTGTGAAGACAAGATAAAGTAGAAATAAAATTCTTCTTCAATGTTTTGCTTGATTTCAACATGGTATCAGAGCATGGACAATTCTGGATCCTAACTACAGAATAAATCATCAATTGAAGTTCGTGCCATTAAGCATTGAAATTGAATTGATGCTAGCAAAGATATTAGCAGTAGAAATTGAAATTAAATTAGAGACAATTGATTTAAAGAACTCACAATCCATACTAGGCAAATAATAATTTCAAATAATGGTAGAACCTATCACAAGATACCGGCACAATATCAATATTTAGTTTTTGAACAGAAATATTGACTTGTAAGTGGTATCTCGGTGTAGTGATCAAACACTGACAATAAAGAAACATGTCAATCAATAATTCTTTCTTTGGATCGATTTATTGATCATACGTTAAACCAAAAAATCGCCACATGTTTATCACTACAGGTGTATGTGTAATTCGGCCAAATAATGATTTTCTTTTGAGTAATGTTATTCATCCCCAGTGGGGATGAATACACAGTTTAGGTGGCTTTAATTGATAGGTTAATTGAAATGTGAAATTAAATGATTTATTTAATTTCACCTATTATTTAATACCACATTAACGTCACGTAGACTGTGTTTTCATCTCTAGTAGGAATGAATAGCATTACTATTTTTTTGACCGATCAAATATTCTCATGAATAACACACACACATAAACACCTTTTAATATTCTAAGTTAATTAAATTTCACAAGAGATGTTACTTTGGCAACATGTTGGTTCAATTGATTCACTTTCGAATATTATACCTCTAAAAGAGTCATTTGTACCAAAATTTGAAAAAAAAAATCACTGAATTTGCATATTTAATTTATTTTGAAACTTTAAGAACCTAAGGGTTAACAATCCAGAACTTTAAGGATCAAAAATTAATTGTCCAAAAATTTAGGGACCAATTTAAACAAATTATAGACTTTAGGAGTTGAATTATAAAATTCAAAACTTTAATGGCCTAAATTAATTAATTTTCAAACTTCAGGAATTGAATTATTAAACTCAGAACTTTAAAGGCCAGTCATTTTAACATTAAGGGGCTGGATTATTAAAGCTTTAAATTTAAGGGGCTGAATTATTAAAATTTAAAACTTAAGGGGCTAAATTATTAAAAATAGATTTAAAATATTGCAACCCTAACTTGATGTGATCCATGCTACGAGGGTAAGTCCGGACAAGGATCCATTGATCATTGAGAAATGACCAATGACTAGGTCATGAACGAAGCAGGTCAAAGAAGCGATGAGAATAATTGCTCAACGGTGGACGAAACAATGATTACGACAAGCAAATAGACAAGTTTTATGTTGGGCATGAGAGATGAAACGAAGTGGAGTACCTTGATTCAAGCAATGGACGGAGATGCTGAAAGGAACAACTATGCGACCACATAATTGTTCAGGGCATGTGGTCGCATGCCACTTTACTGAGCCCAAATGTGAAGGCCTTTATTGATTTATGCGACTGCATAGTGTATTTTCGATAGCGAATTTTTCAAGTTTTCGCGTAATTTTCTATTTTAGTTAAGACTCTTGTATGATATCTTTTTTATATCTTTAAGACTTAAATTCCATTTTTAAATAGGTTTTATGGGTTCCCTATTATCAAAAATTAAATTATTGTGGTGTTCTATAAATTCAAAGTAAGGTTCATAAGTTTTGTGATTACAGGCCAAGATATTGTTAGCAGTTGTCTTAGTTCAATAATTTATTGGGTCGAGCTTTCCAAACTTTGATTCTTAACTTTCTTGGGTTGTTCTAATTTTTCGTGGGTTCCATAGTTACAATTGCTACGTGGGTTCGCATCAGTTGATATCAGAGATTGGCTCCAAAAATTAAGGTTATATCCTATTTATTTTCCTTTCTTTTTGAGTCTTTTGTTTTCGATTCTTCTTGTTTTTCGTGTCTCCAATGCATAAAATACCCAAAAAAAAAAAATTCGAAACTTGTTTGTGTGCTAATCTAGCATCCAAATCAGTTTATGTTTCTTTTGCTAGTATCTAATTGAATTTTCGAGTAAAAAAAAATTCGGAAAACAATTTCCAACAGCATACAAGTTCATTTTTGAGTCAAAAAAAATCCCAAACTCAAAAGTGTCATATCCAAATTCAAGAAATACCCTTTTTTGAATTCATCCATAGCGTTTCATTCAAAGTTAAATTCCTACTTCTTGAGTCATTCTAGATCACTTTCCTTACTCAATTCTTTATTTGGACTCCGCAAGGGTTAAAATCTTGATTGAGATCGAATTAATTCTTTGAAGTACTTGCAAGAAAGCATTGAGTAGAAAAATGTAGAATGGTGAGACTAATAGAGGAAAAAGCCAATTTGAGTGATACACGAACATATACACGTGAGTCAAATATCAAAATAGATTTAGGATGTCTGACAGGAACAGTTCTACTTCAAACGGGAAGGATAATCAAGTCAACATGTCGGATGAGGTGATACGGCAGTTTGAAAGGTTGTTTGAGGATGTGAGAGATAGATTGGATAGGCAAGATATATTGCTTGCTAATTTACTTCAGGAACAATCTAGAGAAATTCCTAACTCAAGGAAAAAAGGAAGGTGGGACCATAGAGTGGAATATGCTGGTGATTGGGAAGCCGATAGTAATACTAATGAGGATACGTTGATGGATATCGAGTTAGGAAGAATGAAGGATAGATGAGTTATGCATGAAATGAGGGGTAGAGATCTTGTTGGAGATGGTATTGATAGAAGTATGGGCAACATCAAGATAACAATTCCTTCATTCAAATGAAGGAGTATCTGGAGGCATACTTGGAGTGGGAAAAGAAAGTGGAGTTAATATTTGATTGCCACAACTACTCTGAGGAAAAGAAGGTAAAAATCGTGGTGCTTGAATTTACCGATTATGCTATTATTTGGTGGGATCAAGGAGCAACATCTAGGAGAAGGAACCATAAGAGGCCTATTAATACTTGGGAAGAATTAAAGGCTATCATGACAAAGAGGTTTGTGTCTAATCATTATTATCGGGAGTTTCATCAAAAATTGCAAAGCATCTACCAATGTTCTAAGAGTGTGGAGGATTATTACAAGGAAATGGAGATTACGATGATTAGAACAAATGTTGAGGAGGATAAGGAGGCCAACATGGCCAGATTTTCAAATGGTTTGAATAGGGATATAGCTAATGTGGTAGAGTTGCAGCATTATGTGGAGTTTGAAGACATGCTACATGTAGCTATAAAGGTGGAAATGTTGTAGCATACATAAATAAGTTTATAAAAAAAAAATAGAAAAAAAATAATGTTGGGGCCAAGCATCAATGCCAGATACCCAGGCAGTCCGTTACAATAGGGCTGGCAGTTCTGTCCGTTCGTTAACCGGTGGCCGATCGATTTTTTTCTACCCTTGTTGACTAATTCCTCATGTTTAATCTAATTTTTTTCTAATATTTTTATTCGTAATGGAGATATGGCATCAGCATGTGTCCCGATTTTTTACTTTGGCAAATTTCAAAAGAAAGCTAACTCGAAAGGCTACAATTCTTCTAAAAATAACCTTATCCAAATTCCAATATTTTCTATGTGAAAAAATGCGTTGAAAGTGAAAACTTAGAATTTGGAACATAATTTGTGCAGCTCTTTGATACTTTTTAGACTTCTAATTGCATTTCCTTTATCATATACGATCTTCTTGGACATCTTGGACTCATTCAAGGAATCAAACCCTAACTTACCTAATTTATACAAATTTCATCCTAAGTCCTTGACTTTTACAACACATTGCAAATTAGTCATTTGTCCACAGAATTGCCAACACTAAAAACCTAACAAAAATGATCAATTTGATTTATGTTTTCTGCTTTTGATTTATAAATTTCTTTATTTATGTGATACAATAATAAGCTCAAAGAATTCTAGTAAAGAATGATAAAATGAACATCTATATCATTAGCGAGAATTCATAAATTATCAAAAGCAAGAATCAACAAAAACACGGAATATTGAGCATAAAAGCATAATTTTATTTCTGA